GTTTGGTTTATATTTGCATTTTAGCATATTGACCATATACAAACATGAAAATTATAATAAATTACAAAGATCGAATTTATTATATTGAAAGTGTACTTTGAACAACAAGAAACACATGTAATTAGAAATGAACACACTCAAATCTCAATACATATGTGAATATAAGTATAACATATTCACATAAAATATAATTAATCCGAACAAAGAGCCAAACTAATTTGAGAAATGAATTCTTTTAAGACTGGAGAACTAAATAACAAAGGTTTGGTTTATATTTGCATTTTAGCATATTGACCGTATACAAACATGAAAATTATAATAAATTACAAAGATCGAATGTATTATATTGAAAATATATGTCCTAACTGAATACTCGAACTACAGCATTTGGCATAGAAGAAACAAATGTTTGAACAACAAGAAACACATGTAATTAGTTTGAATCTTTAAACACCGACAAAGGGATCACACTGAAATTAAGAGAATTTTAAGGCCAAAATAAAAACGTTTGATCAAACTTCTATTTTTGAGATTAAAAAATGCAAAAAAATGAATGTGATCACTTTGTATCTTAACATTCTGATCATGTAATTGCATTAAAATTAGGAGCTAGATATTGCAAAACCAGTATAGAAATTTGTGAATGAGCTTCTATATTAAAAAAAAAATGTTCCAAAATTACATCAGAGAAAACAAATGTTCGGTATATACGAATCAAATGTAATAAAAAATAAACATGAACATTTCGTTTATAAGAAAATAAACATATTTAATTAGTAGTTAAAACCAAATAGAAGTGGAAAATGTAACATTTGAAGATTTTAGTTGAACAAATACACTTATCTTCTTTTCTTCTTCGAATCTCTCTTGCGCGATCGAGGCTTCCAAATTCCATCGTCCTCTTAATCTCTTCATGATATGGCCTTACATATGCATGCAATTGACACACACACACACAATGATGTGGGCTAGTTTTATACTTACACTTATACTCTTACGTTAAAGAATTACTTTATTGTAATAAATGAACGATAAAAGTAGAAACGAAAACTAATAAAATAACAATAACACAATGATGTGGCCTGTGGGCTAGTTTTGTTTTATGTGAAGTATGCAGTGTTTTATTATTTAGGTAGCTTTTTATTATAGTAAAATTGTAGATTATAGAAATATAAAAAATGTATTTAACAATACAGGTAGCTAGTACATACTAGTAATTTGTAGTTCAAATACCCACGGTATACACACGCAATATATATATATATATATATATATATATATATATATATATATATATATATATATATATATATATATATATATATATATATATATATATATATATATATAGAGGGTTAGGTTCATGTGAG